TTTCCTGGCACAGAGCTCCTAAAATCTTTGTAATTTCCTAAGTGATGAGAATTTCCTAAGTGATGTAATTTCCTAAGTGATGAGAATGGTAAAAGGCTATGTTGCCTGTAGAGCCACCCTGTGATTACAAGTTTGGAAGTTTCAGTTTCACACTTCAACCTCCTGGGAGGGGAGAGGGGCTGGAGGTTGAATACAATCACCAATGGCATTGCAGACACCACTGCCCTGGAACCTCCCATGTCACCAGTCATGGTCAACCCCACCATGCACATCGCTGTGGGTGGTGAACCCTTGGGTCACATCTCCTTTGAGGTAAGGGACCTGGAAACCAAGAAGTGACTACTCATCTGATTCATAAATATATTTTAACAGATTGGAGCTGTTTGCAGGCAAAGTTCCAAAGACAGCAGAAAACTTTCACGCTCTGAGTACTGGGGAGAAAGGATTTGGTTATAAAGGCTCCTGATTTCACAGGATTATTCTGGGATTTCTGTGCCCAGGGTGGTGACTTCACATGCAATAATGGCACTGGTGGCAAGTCCATCTATGGGGAGAAATTTGATGATGAGAGTTTCATCCTGTAGCACACAGGTCCTGGCATCTTGTCCGTGGCAAATGTTGGACCCAACATGAAGAGTTGCCAGTTTTTCATCTGCACTGCCAACACTGAGTGGTTGGATGGCAAGCATGTGGTCTTTGACAAGGTGAAAGGAGGTGTGAATCTTGTGGAAGCCATTGAGTACTTTGGGACCAGGAATGGCAAAACCAGCAAGAAGATCACCATTGCTGACTGTGGACGAATCTAATAAATTTGACTTGTGCTTTCTCTCAACTGCCAGATCCTTCCTTCTGTAGCTTAGAGAGCACGCCTTCACCTCCAGCTGCTCGAAATATCCTATAATCTTTGTGCTTTTGTTGCAGTTCTGTGTATTCTATATTTTCCTTACTCCAAGTCTAGCTGAATTGCAGGGTGAAGTTTATGATTATGAAATAAAGACTAAACGACACCACCACCAACAAATCACTAATGTCCAAAGATTCAATCAATCATGCCTATGTAATGAAGCCTCCATAAAAACCCTGTCAGAGAGCTTCTGGGTTAATGATCACAGGGAGATTCAGAGAGAGCATGAAAGCTCCTCGCTCCTTCCACACACCTTGCATTATGCATCTCTTCCATCTGGCTGGTCCTGAGTTTTATCCTTTGATAATAAACCAATAATCTAAACTTCAATTTGTTTATCTATCTATCTACACCCAGTGTGGGGCTCCAACTCATGACCCCAAGATCAAGAGTCACATGCTTTTCTGACTGAGCCAGCCAGGCAACCCTAAACTGATGATCTAGTAAGTAAAATGTTTCTCTGAGTTCTGTGAGCCCCTGTAGCAATTAATTGAACCAGAGGATGGGGTTTTTGTTCCCTCCCATATATAGCCCTTTGGTCAGAAGGACAGGCAACAACTTGCACTTGTATTTGGCATGCGATTTGTGTATGTCGGGGGTGGGGGCAGATTTGTAAGACTAAACTTTTAACCTGTGAGATCAGAGGCTATCTGCAGGTAGGCAGTATCAGAAGTAAGTTGAATTGGAAGACACATAGCTGATGTCAGAGAATTACTTGGTGGTGTGGGAAAAACCTCCACAAAACCCTGGAACGGGTGACCAGCATTTTACCTACTCTCTCCATATATATTTGAAGCCTTAGTCTGGAAACTCATGCAGAGGTGATTAATCTCAGTATCTTTGCTTGGGCTTATTTGAACTCAGTTTAAGTTCCTGAGTCTGTCGGAATGAGTCTCAATTGCTCTGTAGGAGTTTATGCCTTACAAAGTTATCAGCCTGGGAATGCTCATGGTTATCATTTCACACCATGTTGTTTTCTGCCTCTGTGTCTTTGTATCTACATTGTTTCCTCAGCAGGAAAGTCTCTCTCTCTCTTTATTTAGAAACACACCCCACCACCTGGCAAAATTCCACTCAAACTTTTAAGAATCAGCTCAAGTGTCATCTTTGAGAGCCTGCCACAAGCCTCCAGGCTGGGTCAGGGGCTCCCTCTGCTGGATTCTCATGAGCCCCTGTGCTCCCTTCTCTAACATTGCACAGAGATGGATTTATTATAGAACAATAAAGCTTAAGCCTCAGCACCCCATACTTACACATGCCACTTCCGAGTCCCTGATTATCGAGCGCAGTCAATTTGAAGAGCATTTACAATTTGTCATTGCACAAGAACAGTTAAAATACCCTGAAATTTTATAGCTCACATGTAAAAAAAACAAAAACAAAAACAAAAACAAAAAAAAAAACGAGAGGTTCCCTCAAATTTGACGGCAATCTTAAAATTTACCTCACTAATAACAAATTGTGAAGTCGACACTTTTCTAAACTACCAATAAAAATTTTTATCAACTGAATGACATTGAATTCAATTGAATTCTTTGTATTCTCTCTAGAAAATGTTATTATAAAGTAATTGTCATATTTATTTAGAGGAGGGTATCAAGGAGCTTGTAACCAAAAGAAAAATTAGTGGGGAGACGAGTCAAACAATTGATAAAAATATTTTATTTTGGGGAGTTTGAGAATGTTTATGGTATTTGTCAGTTTTTAAAAAGTTTTGTAATTTGTAACATTTGTGATTTCTTTTATAAATCTGAAGCAATACCTTCATACCTAATTTGTACCATTTCTCCTAAAGACAGTTTGCAGAATTCTATCTGCTTCAGGTCCTTTAACACCTAGATTAATCCAGAGCACTGATAATTCTCTAGGGTCCTTGGCCAGTCTTGCATGATGGACTGTAAACTCCTTAGGCATTTGATCAAACCCCATGCATGACGCAGCAATATTCAGCAAGGGCCCAGGCACAGAAGTGACAGTATTGTTTGTTAACATGGTCTAGTCCAAAGTTTGCAATCCTTGCTGTGAGAGGGAATCACCTATGCTATTTTTCTAAGAACAGCTTTATTGAGATATTATTTATATGCCATAAATTTTACCCATTTAAAGTATAAAATTCAATGTTTTTTAGTATATTTACAGGGTTGTGCAACTGTATTAGTTTGCTAGGGTTACCATAACGAAATACCAGACTGGTGGCTTTGACAACAAAAATTTATTTTCTCGAAATTCTAGAACTTCGAGATCAAGGTGTCAGCAGGTTTGGTTTCTTCTGAGGCCTTTATCTTTGGCTTGCAGATATTTACCTTCTGTGCACATAGCCATTTCTCTGTGCATCTTATGTCTCTCTCTATGCCCTAATATCCTTTTCTTACAATGAAACCAATTGTATTAGATTAGCGTGTACCTCTAGGGCCTTGTTTTACCTTATTTACCTCTTCAGAGGCTCTGTCTCCAAATATAGTCACATTTTGAGGAATTGGGTCTTAGCACTTCAACATATGAATGGAAGGGATGACACACAACTCAGCCCCCAACAGCAACCATCACACATCTAATTTTAGAACATCTTCATCTCCCCCCCCAAAGAAACCCCATTTCCCCCCTCCCCAAAGCCTGGGCAACCATTAACCTATTCTCTATCTCTGTAGATTTGCCTATTCTGTACATTTCATATTAGTTTTTTTTTTTAAAGATTTTATTTATTTATTTGACAGACAGAGATCACAGGTAGGCAGAGAGGCAGGCAGAGAGAGAGGAAGGGAAGCTGGCTACCCGCTGAGCAGAGAGCCCGATGTGGGGCTCAATTCCAGGACCCTGGGATCATGACCTGAGCTGAAGGCAGAGGCTTTAACCCACTGAGCCACCCAGGCGCCCCTACTTTTTTTTTTTTTTTTTTACTTATTTGACAGAGAGAGAGATAGCGAGAGCAGAAACATAAGCAGGAGGAGTGGGAGAAGCAGGTTCCCCACGGAGCAGGGAGCCCAATGCTGGACTCAATCCCAGGACCCTGGGATCATGACCTGAGCCAAAGGCAGATGCTTAACAACTGAGCCACCCAGGCACCCCTGTACATTTCATATTAAATGGTATTATACTATATGTAGTCTTTTTTGGCTAGCTGGTAGTGATGTCACCTCTTTCATTCCTGATTTCAGTAATTTGAGTCTTCTTTTTTTACTTAGTCAACCTAGCTAAAAATTTGTCAATTTTGTTGATCTTTTCAAATAACCAACTTTTGTTTCATGATTTTCTCTATTGCTTTTGTTTTCTATTCCAGGTATTTTCTGTCCTATCTTTATTATTTCCTTCCTTCTGCTTGCTTTTGGATTACTTTGTTCTTCTTTTTCCAGTTTCCTAAGGTGAAAGTTTAGGTTATGGATTTGACATCTTTCTTCTTTTTTAATATAGGTGCTTATAGCTATAAAACTCACTTTGTTTTTTTTAAGATTTTATTTATTTATTTGACAGAGCTCACAAGTAGGCAGAGAGGCAGGCAGGGGTGGTGGGAGGGGGAAGCAGTCTCCCTGCTGAGCAGAAGCCAGCGGATGTGGGGCTCGATTCCAGGTCGCTGAGACCATGACCTGAGTGGAAGACAGAGGCTTAACCCGCTGAGCCACCCAGTTGCCCTAAAATTCACTTTAAGCATTGTTTTAGCTGTATTTCATAAATATTGGTTTTCGTTTTCATTCATTTCAGTTTGTTTCCCAGTTTCCTTCATGATTTTTTCATTGACCCATTTGTTATTTAGAAAGGTGTTAATTTCCACATATTAGTGAATTTCACAACTTTCTTTGTTATTGATTAATTTCACTCCATTGTGGTGGGAGAACAAATTTTGTGTGATTTCAACTCCTTTAAATCCATTGAGGCCTGCTTTACAACTTATCATATGGTTTGTCATGGAGAATGTTCCATGTGCATTTCAGAAAAATGTATATTCTCTTGTTGCTGTTGGGTGCAGTGTTTTAGATGATGTTACAACGTTTTTTTTTTTTTTTAATGCAAATTTTAAGGCTATGCTCCCTGAGGTTGATTCCTCTGCCCCAAGGCCTGGAATCCGTATCTTTATTAAGTTCCCCACACCCTTCAAGAACCCATGGCCCCGCCCGACCTCCACTCCTGGCTTCCTTTGGTTTATTACATATGAGTTAACTGCGGTGATGTCATTCATTGCTCTGATAGACTTTTCTATTGCTCTAGTCTTGCCGCCAGGTCCTCGGAAAGGCGCATCTGCGTTCTCAGGTTCGGCTTTCGGCTCATTTGGCCTGGGCTGTGCTGCTCAGCGATTGGGCCTCCTGGGCATCGCGTTGCCAGAGGACGGATGATGGCCGGAGCTGGGGAAGATTCGCGGGCGCTCTTCGGGGCTGGCGTCCGCGCGGCGCTGGAAGCCTGGCCGGCCTTGCAGGTGAGTAGGGCCATGGCTAGGATAAAGGTTAGTGTCTGGGGCAGAACAGGAGTTGGCGGGGCAGAACAAGAGTTGTCTGGACAACGCGCCTGAGGCGCCACTGGGCAGCATAAGCAGCCAACCCTACACCACCTAGGCCGGCTTCCAGGCTGACGTGGTGGGCTCTGGCCTGTGTTCGCAGATCGCTGTGGAGAATGGCTTCGGGGGCGTGCACAGCCAAGAGAAGGCCGAGTGGCTGGGGGGTGCAGTAGAGGAGTACTTCTTCCGCAATGGTGAGTGAATGTGAGGCGCTGCGGCCTGTCTTTGGGGGCGTGGGGAGGAGGAGGCGGGTCCTGTAGAGCGCGCACTTCCTGTTGAACAGTTGTGGGATGGTACCTAACTAAGGTCGAGGTGGAATGAATACAGGCTTTAGGAGTCAGAATCTTGAGTTCTGATACCTTAGAGGCTGTGTCATTGACCTGCGGTATCACTCTGGACAAGTTGTTTTATCTGAGACTACGTTTCTTAATGCCTAAAATAGATATTAAAGTATCTACCTCAGCACTGTCCAATAAGAATACAATGCAACTCACATCATGTCATTTAAAATTTTTTAGCAGCCGCTTCAACAAAGTAAAAAGCAGATGAAATTAATGTTACTGAAGTCAGTATATCTAAAATATCTCAACAGATAATCAGTATAAAAGATAACTCGAGATATTTTACATCCCTTTTTAGTATTAAGTTTTCAAAATCTGGTGGGTATTTTACACTTTTAGCACCTTCTCAATTTGGCCTAGCCAATATTTTGAGTGCTAAGTAATGACTTTTCGTTATTTGGACAGCAAAGATCTACACCTTTGATGTGTCTTTAAGGTCATGTAAGAATAAGGGACCCTGCAGAGGGTCTTTTGCATAGTAAGATTTTTACAAAATTCTTTATTCAGGTTTTTTTCTTTTGGTCTTGTAGATGACATTAGGCAGAGTTATCACAAGGAAGTTTGCATCTAGTGATGGATCCATTTAAGTAAGTAGGCATTTACAGTCCGGGTGATGTTCTAATAAGGATGAGCTCAGGGTGCTTGGGTAGCCTGAGACTGAGGAGGAGGCTTCCTTTGGAGATTGTTCAGGGACGTAGTGATTGGTTTGAGTCTTAAGGGATGAAAAGGAGTTAACTAGGTGGGGGAGACAGCAACACACAAATAAGTTCTGTGGTATGAGAAGATTATGTGTTATATTTGGAAAGTGGCAGGGGGCTCAGTATTGGAGTAAGGGTATGTATGTGCTTGTGAGTGTAGGTAGGAGTGGTTGAGAATGAATCTGGGGGATGGGGAGGCCCTGGGAAGAGGTTAAGACGTGGAAGATGTTACATGCCTTTGGTTTGTCTGTTAGGCCAGCGTTTGCCAAAGTGCGGGCTATAGAATAATAGTTCTGTTAGATGTTCAGTGAAGAAAAAGCTTCCCTAGTCAAATTATGTAAGAACTTTTCTTCAGCGCCTTCTTAGGAGTCACAGTAATCATTAACATAATAAAAGCTTGGCTAACAATAAGAATCACAAAAAAGAAGCCTGTTTTCCTTTATTTCTCATTAGCTTTCTATGGATAGCTTTCTTTTTTTTTTTTAAAGATTTTATTATTTATTTATTTGACAGAGAGAGATCACAGGTAGGCAGAGAGACAGTCAGAGAGAGGGGGAAGCAGGCTCCCTGCTGAGCAGAGAGTCCAATGTGGAGCTCCTGGGATCATGACCTGAGCTGAAAGCAGAGGCTTTAACCCACTGAGCCAGCCAGGGGCCCCTGGATAGCTTTCTTTAAAAACCAGCAGGACAGCTATTCCTGAAAAGCAGGATATGAAACACTGCTGTAGGTGACGAAAATTCATGGGCCCTTTCTAAGGTGAGTAATAGGATGAGATTTGTTGACTAGAAAGTTCAGAAAATAATCGGTATGGAGCATGGACTGGAGAGGGAAAGACTGATGAGAAGGTTATTTCTGTGTAGAAAATAATGAGGCCTGAACTAGGGCAGTGGCAATAGCAATGGATTGGGGCCTTTGAGATTGTTTGGCCGTGAAGAGGGAGGAAAAAGGAGGCAGGTTTTGGGTTTGAGTCACTGGGTGGATTAGGTGCCTTACATGGAATAGAGGAACCCTGGAGGACAAGAAGTAGGTTTGAAGTGGTAAGATGGTAAGTTTGGCTTTGGATGTGGAGGGCCTGAGGCATCTGTGAAATTGGTAGAGTGTAGTTTGTGTTGGAGACGGCTTTGGGGGATATTAGATGAGAGTGCTAGGGAAAGTCAAGGGAGTTAACGAGCTCTCCCAGAGGGAAGGGAGAGTGAGGAGCTTTGTGGAAGACCGTCTTGAGTAATTCTCTAATTCAGAAAAAGTAGAGCAGGGGCCCAGAAGGTAACTGAAGCCTAGATGGTGGAGATTAGCCAGAATCACACAATAGGATGTTAATATCAAGGCTATGATGATTTCATCATTGGAAGTACTTAACGTCCATTTTTTCTTACCTATCCCGTTCAGTGGAGCCACAGTCATGAAGGGTTTCTGCATTTCAGAAACTTCAGCCCTTGAGTGATGGAAATTAACGTGGATTATGGGTCTCTCCTATGCTAGGCATTATTTAGGGGACTCCTCATAACAGACCTTCAAGAAGGCCGCCGTTAGCCCCACTTTGTAGATGAGAAAACAGGCACAGAGATAAGTAACTTGTTCAAGGTCACAGAGAGGAGGCCAGTTAAAATAGGTCAGATGAAAGAGGGTGAGTGTGGTTGGATGCTTTGGGAATAAGAGGGATTGGTAGGATGCAGGAGATTGGAAATTAGGTATTTATGTTTAGTGTTTGTTTGTTTGGTTTTTAAGAATCACATAAAAACCTGGAGTACAGAGCACTTCAGTGAATAAAAGGCTCACTGTTGGGGCCTTTACCCACCAATTGGATGTGGACCCACCAAGTAGGTATTGAATAGTAGTGGGCCTGAGTGATTCAGGTGGCTGGTCTTTGCTTTCCTATTAGCTGACTTGGAGCTAGATGAGGTGGAGGACTTCCTCGGGGAGCTCATGACGAACGAATTTGATACGGTTGTGGAGGATGGAAGTCTGCCCCAGGTGAGCATATTGTGGACTAACTCCCATTTCCCTGCCTGCAGTCTTTCTTCTCCCTGTCTGTTTGTTTTTAGGCCAAGACCTTGGGTCTAACCATTCTTTTCTTGAGTCCTGTGCAAGAACCTTCTGTGACTCCCTTTTGCCTAAAGGAAAAAGTCTACTCTTCCCAGGTCTTTCCAAATGCTGCCTCTTCTCTTTCATTTCTCTCCATACAACATTCTCAACCGGGTCCATTCTTCACCCCCATCCCAAAGGCAGGTCAGGCCAGGTACATTTCCACCCCTGTTCTGGTTAACATTTTCCCCATCAAGCCCTGCTGGGATTGCCTTCCCTTTTACCTCTTTTGTCTTTCAAACCGAATTCTAGTGCCTTCCTTTGCTAGGAAGCACTCCTTCCATACTTGAGGCTCTTACCTGGGTCCTTCATATATGATTCCTTCAGTAGTGAACTCCTTGGGGAAGAAAGAGCCCCATTCTCTTCTGGAAAATTCCAAACCCCTCCCTACTGTCGCTGCAAACACATGCGAGTTGTATTGTAGGTTCTCCAAAAAATCCAAGCTAGTTGAATGTTTTCTTGGTAGGTGAGCCAGCAGCTACAGACCATGTTCTACCACTTCCAGAGGGGTGATGGGGCTGCTCTGAAGGAGATGGCCTCTCACATTACCCAAAGAAAGTACAGCGTCAGAGCCACTGCAGTTACAACAGCTAGAGAAACGGATGAAGATGATGCGGACAGCGTGGAGGAAATGGAGGTGAAAGGGGGTGCCCCTTGGGTGGGGAGATGCAGATATCTTCAATTTTCTGGGAAATCAGCTAGTTTCATAGGGAAATGATGGGGCGGGGGGATATATTATCCAGAGAGGGCAGGGAACTTTCCTAAGGTCACACAGCCAGTCCTGGCATAGCTGGGAAGAGAGCCTGGGTCTCCAGTGGCCATAGCCAGGAAGTGTTGTATTTAGCTCTTTCCTGTATTTCTCCTCCAGGTCACAGCTACGAATGATGGGACAGCTACAGATGGGGTTTGCCCCCAGCCTGAATCCTCTGGTCCAGACTCCCAGACTATTAAAGAAGAGGATATAGTGGAGGATGGCTGGACCATTGTCCGGAGAAAGAAATGAGTGGGGCTGGAAATGGTTTGGGCCCTTGCTTGCTAGTTGTTTTGAGCCTTGTCTGTAGGGGTTTTGGGAGGGTTGTGGACTCTTGGACTGGTTCCTCCATCTCTACCCTCTTCCTATTCCCCTGTTCAGTTTCCTCCAGGGGAAGAAGAGCCCTAGGGTCCTTGCTCTCGAGGTGGTGTGACCTGGTTCACCACACTCCCTTGGGTCTTAAGTTACTGTCTGCATGATGGGCCTCATTTCACAGTACATTGCCTCTCAGGTGTGGTTAGTATGAAGAGGGAGGGTTGAGCAGGTGAGGGCATGACTGGAGAAGCTAAACACTGGTTGACAGTGGCCAGGTGGATCTGTGAAGGGAGAGGACCAGCAGGAGAACCAGTAGTCCTGCTGGGTCAGGAATGTTGAGATGAACTTGCAAACTAGAAGCAAGATGAGTTGAAGATGTGAACGAAAATAGCTGTGGTACCTCTTCTTTTTCCCTTGCCCACACACACACAAAGTAGCTCTGTTCCCCTGCTCAGAAATTGGAACCTCCCAGGAACACTCCCTTTCTGCAGCTTAGCCGCTAGCCCTGGGTTCCTTCAGGAAGTCTAAGACTTTGGCTAGGTGGTGAGCTTGGGGGACCTGGGCTTTGTTTTCTTTCTCCTTCAGCCTCTTTCCATATACTTACCCAAATCCAGGGATGAGGCTTAAAACCTCATAGTACCTTATTGTTTAATCTGTGACTTGACCCGTGAAGAGCCTTAGAATCAGCCTTTTAGGAGCTGGGCTTCAGAGCTCAGTAAGGGAGCAGTTTTGGGGCCCATCCTAGCAGCCTGTTACTGTGAACAAACAGGTGGATAAATGGAACACAGCAGCACTCTGAAAGTTTCCATAAGCCCGAAATAAACTGTATTTTTCTTTAAAAAACAAAACAAAGAGTATCCATTGTCTTCCCCCCCATTTCCCTGTCCTGCCCTGTGGCCCTGCCATGGGTCTGGACGATAAAATACTGGGTAGCCTTGGGGCCGGGTAGAAGCTATAAGCCATGGAAGAGGCAGGAGGGGTCTCGTCACCACCCCACGTAACGTGTGTAAAGACACTGGCTGGGGGGGGCAGGGGTGGGCCAGGGCCATGGGGTCAGTGGCAGAACTGGCACTTGAATCCAAATCTGCCTCCAGTTTGGGGGGGAATTGGGTGGAGGCAGGATCTGTAGGATGTTGAAGGGATGGAGGACAAAACAGCCTAATTCAAGGGGGTCTAGCAACAGCTCCCACCCTTCCTGGGGACAGGGATTTAAAAAAAATTAACATCACTGTAGGAATTTTTTTTTAAAGCCCATGTTTTGTGAAAAGATGAGTTAAAAAACCCAAGACCCAGCACTGAGGATTGAAAGTGCCCATGATGGGAGTTCAAGTATTGACTGAGCTGGGAGGGAGGGGGCTGGGGCCCCCAATTGGACATGGGCAGCTAGAGTATGGGGCAGCGGGCCCCAGTTACTCCCAAACCCTCTAGGTCTTGTCTTGGGTCTGGGGGGCTTCGGACGGTTCAGCAATGGCTCCTGAAGCTGCCACTGGTGCCTCCTCCATCTCCCTGTCCTCAGACAGTGTGGGCCCTGGGCAGAACGTGTCCCCACGGCCTGCCCGACCGAGCACTGCCATCCATCGCCGCTGCAGCTCCTCTGTCTCGGGGCTGAAGTACCAGCTCAGGTGGCTCTGGGTGATCTTGAAGACGTGCCTTCTGTCAGGCCGCTCCCCTGCCTCAGGAGGCCCCACCTCAAAGCCAATGAGGGGCAAGCTGCGCTGGGCTTTCACATCCTAGGGAACAGGACAGAGCTGGGGTCACCTTGAGGCTGGGCTTCTCACTAGTTTTGCATCTGCTGAACCCTTCTTTTCCTTCCCCTCCTCAGGAAACTTCCATGGCTCCACTGATAGCAACTGAAAAATGTCAGCTGAGGCTAGCATGCAGGCTAGTTCAAATACCCATTTCCTCCCACAACCAAAACCAATTGGGCTAGTCTCTTTAGCATATAAAAAATAATATTTGCAGGCCTTTGTTTCAGCTTTTGCCTCCATTTACATGTTCTTTCCTGCTCCAAACTGGACCTAGCAATGTCTAACCTCCACGAAACTAGCTAGACTATCTCACCCCGCTTTTCCCTATACATGTTGGCCCACAGTCACTCCTTGTCTCTAGCTCATCTTTGTCTCACAAGGGTAGGGGTTCTGATTTCCCCTTAGCCTTACCCCATCTCCCAAGGCCAAGGAGAGGTCAAGGACTAAAAGGGAAGAGGAGCAGCCTGGTTTTGCCAGGTGGCTGAAAGGCCCTGAAAGAATGGGATGCACACCTGAGGGGCTCCATAGATGTACAGCACCAAGGGTTCATTCTCAGGGACCACGAACCATGCCTTGTGCCAGCCTTTGCCACCTTTCTCCATGTAGTGTAGGAAGCTGCAGATGACGCTGTTCTCCGCAGCCACTGAGGCCTGTTTCTGTGGCCAGAGACATAGGGGACATCAGTGTTGATAGAAGGCTTGGCCTGGCTACTCTTGGCTTTGACATGCCCTCAGCATAGGGATTGATAAGGCCAAAGCTCAGATGGTGGGAAGGATTTGTCCAGTACCCCCACCCACTGTGGGTTAGAATTGAGGCTGAAAGCCAGGCTTGTCTGCTGCACTGCAGTGGCTGCTTGCCTCCTAGGAATTGGTGGGAGGGGTGTTTCAACAGGGGCACCTAGATGCCAGGCAGGCATTGTTCTATCAGTTGATTTATTCCTCAAGTCACTTATGCCTTTATACCTCCCCCTGTTCGTTGTCTTTCATCATAACATCCATGCCTTGGATTTAGCAAGAGGCAACCCTAGCATTGTGAAGAGGATTGGGTAGCTGGGTAAGGCAGTCTGGCTTAGAATCCCAGCTTGAGATGAAAATGTATTGATTTGGAAGGAGAACATATAGGTCTGTTGTAAGGATTAAATGAGTTAATGTATGCAAAATGCTCAGAAGAGTGCCTGGCACGGAGTAAGCATTCTTTTTTAAAAAAGATTTATTTATTTATTTTTGAGAGAGAGAGAGAGAGAGAGAGAGAGAGAGAGAAGAGCGCTCGCACGTGCACGTGAGCAGGAATTAGGGGCAGAGGGAGAGAGTAAATCCTCAAGCAAACTCCCCCCTGAGTGAGGAACTCACCCCAGGACTCCATCTCAGGACCCTGAGATCATGACCTGAGCCGAAATAGAGTCAGCCACTTAACCATCTGAGCTACCCAGGCACCCCCAGAGTAAGCATTCTTTAAATGTTAAGTGAAATAAATACCTCAATTTGGTTAAAAACAAAACCAAAAATGTATGTATGGCATGCTACAACACAACTATTAATAGTGGTAATCTAGTGGGTAGAAGGAATATGGTGTTTTTATTATTTTTGTTTATATTGTCTAATTTTCCCCAGTGCACATATCCTATTTTGTAATAAGAAAAGATAATTTGTTTATTGAAAAAACATACTAGCTCTGCCACTTGCTGGCTGTGTAATTTGGGCAAATAACTCCCTGAGCCTCAGTTCCCTCATTTGTAACCCAGGGATAGGAATAGCATGGATAGATTACTTACTGTGAAGATTAAATGGCTAAAGCACTTAAATAAAAATTCGTCTTTCACTCACTCTTGCATTCATTTTACTCACTCCAAGCCTGGGTCACTTGCTCAGTGGAAGCACATAGCACCCTAGCATTTCAGAGATGCCCACGTGTGTGTCAGTCATGGTGGGCGGCTGGGGCCCATGTGGTTGGCGTGGGACTGTTAGTCGGGGACCTGGCTCTTACCTCCAGGATAGACCTCCGGCGCTGGGGTGTATGCTGGCTGCAGACCGGGCTGCTCCCAGGCACCCCATGCAAGGCCACGTAGCAGTCCGTGCACACACGGTTGGAGCGGTTGTTGTCATAGATGAGGCGGGCCCGGAACTCGGAGCACTTCCCACAGACCACCTGGGGTGGCAAGTGGGCAAAAACAGCCTGGTTCCTGCAGGTCTTTCCCTTCAGTGTACCAACTCCCACAGTGGACTCATGGCCTCCCCCACTTAGAGGGTAACCCACTCAGAAGTGGGCCTTTGGGCTGCCAGCCTGTCCCCTCCCTATCTCTGCCCCTGCCTGCCCAAACTCACATGCCCGCAGGCCTTGCAGTGGTGCCTGCGTTTGGTGATGGAATTGAAGGGCTCCTGGCAGCGCATGCACATGGTGACTTCCTTTTCTCGGATGGGTGTAGGTGCCCGCTTCCCAAGATCCACGTTCTGGAGAGAGGGCCAAGTCCCAGGTCAGAGATAGCTACTCCCCAGCCCAGTCCAGCCAGCCCCTGCCCTCTGCCTGAAGGCTTGGATCACCAGTGGGAAGCAGCAGATAACATTCAGAAGACCTGCCTTTGAGTCCTTGCTCTGTCCTTACCTCACTGTACTACTGACGACAAGTCATTTTTACTTTCTGGGCCTCAGTTTCCCCCATGATTCCTCTGTGGCCATACCAAAAGAAGACTGTGCTTCTGAGGTCCTGCACTCTGCCTCTCTGGTGTTCACTCTCCGGGAAGGGGCAAGGATCATTTCAAGGTAAAGTGGGGACTTGGAAGCCTGGAAGGGGTCCCAGTGCAGGGGGAGAGGGTGGGGACTCTTACTGGAGAATTAGGGGGTGTGTCTTCATCTTCCCTGTTTGTTGAGTTCAACAGTTTGAAGGTCTCCAGCGTCTGTTCGTGCTTCAGGAGGGTGGAGTTGATGGCCTATAAAGGAGGTTGTAAGAAATAAGAGGTCAGATCACCTCACAACCCACCTACTTCCACCCTCACCTCACCTTCCTATGACCTAGCCTGGAGTCGGAAAACTTGGTTTCTTGGCCAGACTCTGCCCCTTGTTAGGCATATGATCTTGAGCAAGCCCAATCCCAAATCCAGTTCTCAGATCAGTGGTTGGAAAATCACAGAAGGTCTTCCTGGCCACTGTCTGGGCTTCAGGTTTTACAGGATTTAACTCACTGGGGTTATACCCTCAGAGGAGCCAGCTTTCTAAAGGGAGAATTTGTGAGTTTCTGTTTAACCTCTGGACCTCAGTTTGCTTATCTGTAAAACAGGGATGGTAAAGTTTGTTAGAAAGCTGTGTCCAGGCCCATTCTGGTCTAACATGAGTTTAGGGGAGAGTCCACAAACCCCAAGGAGACCTGTTAATACTCCTCCAGCCCCCTACCACAAAGCCTTCTTGGATGTTACCTGGACCCAGTCTTTCTTCTCCTCCTCAGTCCTTGGGGTGCGGGGGAGAAAGAAAAATGTTGGGTTAGGCAGGCCAACAAAAAGCAACTGGAGTGGTAAACAGTATTTTGGAGTCAGACCAGGGTTTTGACCCTCTGGTCCTTAACTTATTATGTGACCTTAGGCAAGTCATGTAGCCTGTGTTTATTTATTCAGCAGTTACTAATAATTTCCAGACCCTGTGCTAGGGACTTGGGGCTTAGAGAGGGCTGGCCCTACCCTCAAGGAGCTCATGGTCTAGGAGGGGAGATAGGGATAATACAGGGGGATTAGCACTGTGACCCGGAGTGAAAATAGGGCCGAGAAGCCCAGAAGGAGAGACCTGCCCCAGCCTGGAATTTGGGTGGGGCTGTTTTTTTTTAATTAATTTTATTTATTTGACAGAGATCACAAGTAGGCAGAGAGGCAGGCAGAGAGAGAGAGGAGGAAGCAGGCTCCCCACGGAGCAGAGAGCCCGATGTGGGGTTCGATCCCAGGACCCCGGGATCATGACCTGAGTCGAAGGCAGAGGCTTTAACCTATTGAGCCACCCAGGCGCCCCTGGGTGGGGCTGTTAAGGAAGGTTTCTTCAAGGAGGTACTGGGCCTCAAGTAGAGGTTTATGGGTGAGGTGTGTGTAAAATTATGGAACATACAAGAAACCATAAATAGTTCCC